TATAATGCCTTAGTATTATTCTGCCTTAGACTTATAAATAACTCGGATTAAACGGCTCGGCAGTTAAAGTGTTTGTGTCGACTTTGTAGCAATATTAAAAAATCGTCTGGCATACATCGTGTGAAAAGAACTAACAGACCCTTTAAAAAGCATGGTAAACTAAACTCGCCGGTTTGGCGCCAAATGATGTTCGAATTTGTTCTGCAAACGTATTCCAATGCACGTGCATGTTCACAGTTGTACATGCCGCTCATTAGCACGTAACGTGCAATGTTAGTCCTGTTCAGCTGTCTGTGCACTCGCCACCAATTACATATTCCCCGGCGCCACCGTGTACAATGTACACAGTGTCGGTGTTCACGGCTGCTGATTTCGATTTAAATCACTATTACAACGAATCGGTTTTTCTCATTAACTTTTATATTAGAACAGATTCTCTAAATTCCAATATACAAGAACCTTAATTGATCTTAGTGCAAACAAAATACATACAAATGCTTACTTTTTCTTTGCACTTACGTTATATTTTAGTAAGATACAAAGTATCGCATAAGACACTATTTCTAGTGATAAGGGTTATCTTTGTAACTTTCGGTTCCTTTTTATTCTGACATCAATTGATAACTACTTAATGATGATGGTGATATGTTGTCCCGGGCGCTACGATGCTTTGGGATGACTGGTTACACCGGGTTAAATCGGGCTGCAGTATCAATATGCATTGCTTCTCAACCACTACGCTACTGCAACAAAAGGTGGGGTCGTACTCCTGGAGGTTGGATTTATAAATGGGGTTATGTATAAAATTAGAACTATGATTTAAGCACGTAAAGAGAGACACCTTTATATAGTCAAGGAACAATTGAGAAACAGTTTATGTAATTGTTTCAGTACCGATGTTCTAAAGTCATGGGTCTAGAATTGAGAAGCGATTAATGCTACTCAGAAGTTCTGCGCGATACGTGTAATTTTAAGTTTCCAGAAATAAAGAACTAACTCCTAATTTTTGTTCACAAGTAGGACCACACCCTAAATACCACCTGCTTTTCTTCAGTAAATTAGTAAAGCCAACGCGTCGAGCGCTCAGCAAACATCGCATGCTCGCGGCTAACGGCTACCGGGAGACTCAACATCTCGCCGTCCCGCTCTGACGTCACAGGGTGGCCGTATGGAAGAGAGGGACGAATGCGAGGCGAGCCGCGTGAACAAATATGTAATATACAACTGATTCCCAAGAAACGCGATGAATGGTAAGTATAGTTAACTCGCTGACTGCATATTTTTATTATTATTATTACACGTTTTGATTTCGGGAAACCTGAGGCGAGATGACGAAGCTTATAAATATCTAAGTTGAATTAAGGATCTTGAGTTAAATACAACAGTTACCATAAAAATGCAAATATGTATTTTGAATTTATGAATAAACAAAAGTAAAAACGTTTCACACTTCGCTATAATTGCAGAGGCTAGTTTAACTGCCGCGGTGTAAAAAACAACACTAGCATTTAAGAAAATCATAAATTATTCAACAGCTAGGGCACTAATTTGCACCGTAGCTAATATTTCAAGTCCGGCTTTGAGCCTCAGCGCAGCGCAATTGTATCGTTTTGCGCGGTCGCGGCGTGGTCGGGATGCGGTCGGCGTTCGGTCGGCGTGCGGTTGCACGATGTAATTATGTTCATCTCTCGGTTATCCATTAACCGTTTGGAGGGCTGTTACTTTCGTGGGGTAAGTCTACAATTTCCTAGGCACGCTACGGTCAAGAATTTAGTGACTACTACTAACTACTGAATATTTCTCAACAAAACAAACAAACATATTCTAGAGATAATGTTTCTGAAGTAACGATAACGAGTTAAGTTAAAAGTAAGAAATTTAATTCACACATAAATTGTGAAATATATTTAGCATAGTAAATTAGAAGACCGAGGCGGGATACAGACCAAAATGGAAAAAGTTTTGGTACAAAAGTTTGGCTCTGGAGCTAAAAGAAGAATACATTTAGAAAACATTTTAATAAATATTTTTAAGTAATAGCAATAGTAAAAATTATAATTGACATTTAATACAGCGCGCTACATCACTAGACGCTGTAAGTTGATTCTTGTTCACAATTTATGTATGACAAGAGCGCGCACCAATTTATTCCAGATATAGTGGTATATCATAGTGAATTTAATTATATTCATTTACAATAAAAATGTCCATCATATCTTTGTAATTATTACTCAATTAAAAATAGTTTTATTTCATTTACTCACAACTTGCCTACATATTTTGCGTATCGTCTTTAGCATATGTCTACTTCTAGAACAAAATTACTCTATTCGAATGAAATGGTTGCCATCAAGAATGTTATAACGTATTTAATAAACTCAACAACGTCAAAGGCGATTTGAAATTCATGAATTCAACAAATTAGCAGAATGTGGCACGTTTACATTAGTTATTCTATGTTCGTGCTGCAAGGACTGCTGGACCTCGTCATACTGGTAATGTTCAACATAAGTTTGTTACTCCCACCCTGACATATATACACGTGTATAACTGTTTCTAATTACGAAAATTAAATAGAATTAGTATTTACTTCATAATATAACATTCTTTACCTCTAATAAAAATATTACATGTTGCATTCAAAAAAAACATGAACAAGTTCTTACCGTTATTTTAAATATGTACATTATGACAACTTTATTGACATGATTATAGTAGAGAGGTAAGTGTTTACTTTGTTCTCCGACAGCCCTTCACAAGAGAAAGTCTGGCAACCAGCTACCACGCATGTTACTGTCACTGTACCTCGTAGTTTCGTCTAAGATTAAACATTTTATAGTAAATAAAATAAAATTCATAAGAAACATTACGGTCTCAGATTTCTATTGGCGATTTAAATTTCTTATCAAAGTTACTCAAATTTTAAGCAACAAACAAAACTTTTTTGTTTGAATGGAAATTTATTTTGAAATGGATATTTAAACTTTTATTTATTACTGCTCATGAACGATTTAAGGTCATTAGAATCTAATCAAATTCAAATAAATAATCCGTAAAAGGGTGTAAAAATATGAAATTAAAATCATAGTAAGCACTAAAACATTTATCGTTGGTTTCTAAGACCAAAAATCTCCATTTCAAACATATTGTTATCTCTGTCTTATGAAAGATAATGAGAGGGATGACGATATGTTTTATACAAAGATTTTGGTTTCAGAAACAAACGATGAGTGATTCATTGGCTCGCATTAGCCAGTTGCGGATAATTATGCTAACGGTTTGCGATACGTTGCACCTTGACATTTAAATGGCATTCAGTGATCTCTAATGAATGCACGTGTATCAATTTTGAGATAAGGTAACCAGCGTATTTAAACACAACGGTTACCAAATAATACGTATCAACACGTTCCATGACAATATAAACTCGCCGGGCGAACTAATTTGTGTTACTAGGAGGAGTATCATAATTTTGGCTTAAAATTACATGTTTAGCAAGATTCCTCGGTAAAAAAAAGTTAGTTTAGACTTAATGTGAATGGATTTTCACTCGGTCTATAAAGTGTAAACATAATATTGTAGTGTGCAATTTGCCAATGTTTTACAATCGGAAGTGAGTGCGGATGTTCTCACGGCAGACGGCGGGCGGAGGGCGGGGCGCGCCAGATTGTTGCGATAGAGGTCGCTACGAAGCCGTATGTTTACGACATTCCGCGGTAAATATTCCGCGGAACTGAAAATAGTTGGGGTAAAGTACCGGTGAGTTCATTGTAAATCATTTTATATTATTTCACTATTTTTTTACATAGCTGTAGAGTATTTTAAAAGTGTTTGATTTAATTTAAATACATAAATAATTTGAGCAATCCCAAAGGCTTAACATGTCTGTAAAAGTTCACAATAAATGAAAAGAAAACGCGTTATTTTTACCAAATTTAACAAAAATATAAATGTCTTCCACTTTAGAAATGCTGATTCAAAAGATAAACTCTCTTTATTAATTAAATTACTGTAAAGAGAATCACAATTTGTATGTGTCGACGTAATTTGCAATTAGTGGTGCGGTGGCTTACCTAATTATCTCCAATAAGTATGGAAAAATGTATCCTTATAATACATTGAAACAAATCGCGATACAGATAAAGCAACAGATGCAACAATGAAAATAATTTAATTTATTTTTATTCCATGACAAAAGCTAATGGAGATTAAATATCAAGTCCAAGTAAAAAAACTCCAAAAAATGAACCCTTCTCTCGTCTAAACTACTGCCATATTTCAACTTCGCTGTTATCATTCGATCGCTTTTTAAAGTGTTAGTTAAAACGATTTGAGCAATACCTGTTTGAAAAAATTTTGAGCGAGTTAGTTTGTTCCATAATTCATGTTTTTTTTTTTATCGACGGACCTTTTTACATTTAATAATTTCAATACAACCCTTAATTAATCACAACAGCTGGAGGTTTTGAAAATTAAACTGTAGAAGAAATAACTTAATTTGAAGTGATTTATAATCTTATATTTCAAGTTACTTGGTTTCGCTACAGCGTATAATTTAGATAAGAATGGTAAACCGCAGCAGCGTTATATTCCCAGTAACATCTTTGCAAAGCAAGTGCGGGCAGAGACGTTGGCGGGAACCAGAGCAGACAATGGGCCGCCATCTGCCAACTACTGAGCAATTCCAAACAAATTGAGGAAATGAAGAGCGTTAGGCGTGCGCGAAAACAACACTATATTGAAGTTGTGAAGGAATGCGAAATAAGCATAAATTGTTATGAGATATAATCCAATAAAGAAAAACTAAAGATGTTAAATTACTGCGTAAACCACTTCACTACAGCTTGGAGCTTCCTCCTGATTATTGTGTTTTTGTTTTAGATGAAGAAGTATTAATAACAATGTGCTTCATATAATATTTAATGTAAAAAAATCCAGAAGTATGTTATTGGTAATGTTATTACGCAATGGTAGAGAAATAAATATTCGAAACTACTCACTCGTTGCAAGAGGTCGTGGATGTCTGTGAGACGGTGACCAATGTCCTGGTGGTGGTGGTCAGCCTGTCGCCCACACACTTTCGTCGCGAGCACTCGACTAGCACTGTGTCCTCTTTCACCGGCTGCAACACTTCCTTAACTTTATTAGGACCCGTTTTCACTGTGGACCGTTGAAACCTTAAATTAGCAGACGTCTTTCCGTCCGTACAAATTTCAGTTTCTTCCGTAACTATTGCACCTTTTTTAGTTTTACAAACTGTTTTAGATGTCTTTCCGAGTACTTCGCCGTTCCGATGAACTTGCTCTTTGGAATCCAACAGCTTCGTTTTAGGTTCTTGAGGTAGTCCGTTCTGTAGCATCGTCTTTATAGCATCTGTGTTAAGATTTTCATCAAGAATGTTATTTAAATCATCGTAGCTTTGACGAATCGGTTGTCTTCTTTGGTCTTTCTGCCACGTCGATTCGAAACCGTAGATCGGTTCCGATTCGACACCGAACCACGCTTTCGTTTCTGCGTTACTTTCATCCGGTGCAGGGTCTATTTGTGAACCGTAATTGTTATCGAAGAATTCGTCTGTTAGTTCAGTTATCTGTGCGCCGGATCGCTTTGAGTCCACATTGTCAAAGTTTAGAAACTCTGAGTTCATAGCGTTCAGTTTCCTCTTGCCATAGAGTTGTCTGTAGTACTTTTCCTGATCACCGTACATCCAGCACACTTTCCACCACTGTTTGCACATTAATATGTTCGCTGAGTTGGAAGATTTCACTTCTCTAGTTGCCATTTTTGTTGTTGACATTTTCACTGCTTTTTAGCTAAATTACAAGAAACTAACACACTTTTATTTACAGATTGGAAGTGCCTGGTCGTTTGGTGCATTTGATCATTTTCCATAGCTGTGACGCAGGACATAGTGTATAACTTCGTGAGCTAGCTATTAATTTAACTCTATCTATATTAGAACGGGGTCATAAATCGTAAGAGTAGATCATTATCTATCCCGGCTTTTGTTACATATCGTTGCTGGGAGGTTATTATGTATAATTTCGCTACCACTGGCCGACAGCCGGCAGTCGGCTGCCGAGCCGTCGTTAAGTTACGCTTTTTACTCATTTTACTTACATTTTACTGTTCACTACAAGCTTTTGCTGTGAAATGCGTATTAAAAGTAATATTCTTAGTAGTTAATCAGAAATCAAAAAATCAGATATTTATCTATTACACAAATTAAGAACAGTACTCAATTAACTCTTTTTATTAAACATCTAAGGGTCACACCTAACTTTTCGAAGGAATTTATATAGTCAACCCCACTTTATGTCCGTGTTAATTCTTAGTTTAGAGTTTCCGACATAGCCACAGAGACATAAAGCCTGCTTCATCTAACAGGTGGTCGCTGGCATAGTTTGCTTGTAACAGTTCTCTTAATGAGGGTTTTTTTAATGAAATAGCCAATAGCCATATAAAACATAGAGACGTTTACTAAGTTGTTAAGTGATAACCATAAATACGTGCTAAGTTGAACATTTATGTTAATTACGATTTAGTTTATTGTTATGGATTTGTTTTGGTAAGAAAATGGAGATAAGATTTTAAAATATTTGAGCTTCTCTTAAAGAATTCCTATTCGAAAATGTTGTTTGACGTTATGACGAAAGTCTGATATTTCATTATTTATTCGAACATCTGATTAAATAGTTCATTAACAATGTAAGAATCTGATACATAAGAAACAAGAATTACCACTTTCGGGTACTAAAATATCGTCAAGGAAACGATAATACAAAAAGAGCAGCGACATACAGACAGACACATTGTTAACATGTGTAATCCGTCAGTTGTACATTATCATTATGTACAAATGTACGTTGTCAATGTACAAATGTACATGTCGCATACAAAACCAAATAGCAAATAATATTAGCATACCGTTAATATATTTATAATGCGTATTATTGACCCACAATGCGTCTGCGGAGCCTGCCCAACTGCCCAACGGCATGCGAACCGCTTCTCTCGTTTGCATAAACTCTGTCCTACTCTCGCTCGAATCCTTCCCTTGATTAGATAGAGATGAACATACTGCTGTGAGTTCGTCTTCGCATCAGGACCTGTTGTTATGTTAATTTATGCGGCATGTTTGAGCGCGTCTGCTACTGGGAAAATTTTGGTTAAATGATTTTGCCTTTAGAGAGACATGGTTTTGGATTTTTATATTCAGTTAAAACTTTCAAAAGCTTTTATTATTTTTAAAATTTTATTGTTTTTAAAATGTCTTTTACTGGGATAGACTGAGATATTTTTTTTAAACTAAGAAAACAAAAGTTTATATAAGGGTTCACAGGTTAATGGCATCACATTCCTGCGTAGTATCTAGTAGTAGTAGTAGCAGTATTTGTAAAATATACACTGAGATCGCTTATATCACAATAAAGAGAAAACAAACAAAAACAAAAATGTAAAAAGAAACCTTTCCGTTAAACATTAATTTGATTTTCTTTAATTATGAAACTATACAATAACGATCTTTTAACATTGTACAACATGAGGCAATACGTTTAAATGTTTAATGTAAACTTTAGTGCAGTGGGATTGTGTAACAATGTGAAAATGATTCGTGGCAATGAATAAAGTTTATAAATGTAAGCACATTAATAAAACTGTTGTACTGATTGAGGCTAAGTGCTGCGACAATCAAAAACGTTTCTCTCACGAAGATAATCGGACACGTCTAGATAATGGACCAAATAAATGTTTAAATCATTCATGTGTAGGTGGTCACACTTAGATATTAATTATGCCAGTTACTTTACTAACTTAGGTAAGATTTATTTGTTAAGTTATCTAGAACAAACATCTCAATTTTACTGTACCTATATATTTAATATTAAACCGTAATACGTAAACTTAAAAAGTAAACTGTCTTATTGACACAATTATATGAACTTTTATCGTAAGCATAGAATTAAAAAAAATGTAAATATGTAACATCCTGTATCATATTAGCATCGAATTACGCGCCAATTATCGTCAGAGCATCGTAAGATTATCTTATTAGATGCAAGTTGTAATTGCAGATCACAATCTCACAGCAGTCCTCTCTCGTTCCTACGGGACCAGAGCATAGCACTGGACAGCAGGCAACGCGGAGCTATCTCTATTTATAGTCCATTACTTAATATCTATAATTCGATTGGAGAGAGACGTATGCACGTCACGTAAGAAACTTGTCAGTTGAGTGCGCCCATTAAAAATCAATTATCAGGAAAAAATAAAAACAGATCGGGAGCCGCAGCCGCGGGATGTAGCCTGGCGCAGAGGGAGGTAGCGGGGCGCGCGGGGGGGGGGGGAAGCTTAAGTGGCACTCTCTGATTTTTAGTATGCTTTTGTGTTTTTTTACACGACATTCAACGTTTTCCTGCATTCCAAAAATTGTACATATTAGGTCAGATGGGCCGAAATGATGGGTCGAAATGGGCCTTAATAATAATGCCAACAATTCTGATGATTTAAAAATACCAAATTAAATATTCAAATCTATTTAGTATCTTGAGATTCGCTGTTTATATAATTACCGATATTTAAATATGTAATCTTTGAATTTACCCTCCAGAGATAAACCTATCGTCATAGTTGACCCAATTAACCGGTTAGTTCAACTCGTAGTCATCACATGCGACTTTCACCTCTAAATCTATCGAAATAAGAACCATCAATTTATGGACATAAATACAATACGTTTAAACGCCTGGGGATAGAATCATAATAATTACAGAGGTGGTGTGTTGTGGCTGTAGGAAGGTTACCTTTGCCTCGCAGACATCGAGCAGCGCATAAAAACACGCAACTGTCAGTCGCACTGTATGACGTGAACTGAATACTTAATGATCGAGAATTAAAGAAGATATTATGTTTATTTCTGTAATATATGTATTTACAATAATTGTTTATGTTTTTTCATCATTAAATTGCTCTTATATACAACAATTACATAATATTATGACTGACTTGTAATGTTGTGTTTTAACATCTACAAACAATTGTTTAGTTTAGTATAATTCAGCAGTCTTGTACAATAAAACTCTAATTTACCAATTGAAAAAAACGAAAAAATGGGAAACTCATTATACAAAGTATAAAGTAAAAATAATTGCTACATCAAACATATTTGTACAACGATTCACCAATCATAAGCGAGTGTCAGTTTCAAACGAGCTCTGACTGCCTCCGTTGAGCGGGATGTCGTCGCCTCGTCCACCTGAACTTGTTTACGCCGCGTCAATATGAATAACATAAAGATATTTGCAGTCCTGCCAGCTTTACAAGTAATCACCATTTAGTTTAGCAAACTTATCAGTAATAAACTATTATTTCTGGAGGAAAGATAGATATTTAAACCGTGTCAATCGGAAATACGGAATCCTTCCGAAATGCAAAAAAACAAAAACATGCCAATATAATGTTAGAAAGAACTTTACGTAGTCAACCTAAAACCACGTCGAATAAGTTGCATAGCAATAAAACTGGGAATATTGAATAGCGATCATTGCGTTGCTGCATCCGACGAGAGAGGGGGAGGGGGAGAGGCACGGGGGCGGGTGCTTGAGAGATGATTTGTAAATAACGGGAAGACAGGTCTCCAATGCCGACTGTACAACTTGTCGCCTCAGCGAATATTACTCAGCGCTTTTCCATAGTGCTCGCAAATTTTACGCGTCTAAATCCAAATTATTCGAAATTAATAATTATAAAAAAATTAACAGCAAATATTATATAAATATAATGTGGAAGACGACATGTTTTATAAGTTTACTAAGCGTTTAAGAAACTCAGTTCACTTTGTCCCTTTTTAATGTTTTGTTATCCGCAAACTTTTCAAAGTTTCAATTGTCACTGACAATAACTACGCGAACATTGGTTACTTTAGCGAACTGTTTTCCCGACTTGATAAATCAGTCTTACACAACTTGTACTTAGTTTCATTTAAGAACCACTTTTTATCAACTCTATACATAACTGTGTTGTCTATTTTTGTAACGTGTTAAAGCAATACAAAGATCCAGTTTAGTGGAACTTATCCCGCTGTTAATGAATTATTCTACTTCTTAAGACGTCCACTTGAGATCTCAATAACCTTAAAGTAGGCTTCAACGCACATAACAAGTGCTAGTATCTTTATGTTAGCCTATTTGTTTATTTTCAGATGTTACATTCATTTTTTAAAACTAAACATATATTTCTATCTGTCTGTCTGTTTAAAGCGTATTGTTTTCTTTTTATTGGAACAATAGAGGGGGATTATTATACGTGTTTAGATAGTTGAAACGTCCTGTATATGATAAATGCTATAGGTTATAGAGTAAAAAACATTCTTTAATTTTAAATTTTATTATGTAAGAATTATTTTTAATTAATCCACTCCATAAAATTCCACTCACCCCTAATACGACTAGGTATGTGTGCTCATTCCCTTTTATATACAAATATACATGCATATATAGATGTAACTACTTTTATGTAACTTGAAACTGATTCAATTCATAACATTAAAATACAACTTTAAACATATCAACATTTTTGCTCCAAATCTAAGACTTTGCAGTTTTAATTTGCTGCTGGTTTGATTATTTGTTGAGATTTATGTATTATCAGAGTATGATTTATGCCATACAATTATCTAAACATCTATACGTCATGTTTTATATAAAGATTTCTATGGTTCTGCTCCCACAGCTTAACCTTGTTTGAGGGCGAATTGGAACCAAATTATATCATGATGCTGCCTTCATTTGCATAATTATATATAATCAATGTAAATTAATATATTTTGAATTTTAATATCATCTATATAAACTGTTAAAACACACAGCTATGAATATAAACAGCCTCCTTTATGACAAATTTGCAGCATTAACACATTTGCACAATACCAAAATTAAGTTCAATTAAAATCATTTTTTTTTACTCCTGCAATACTTACAACATTTTTAGTTTGAATTTGCATCAAAATAAACGATATTCTACAAATTCTTAGTTGTTCAAACTTTAATAGTCCAATAATATTCACGAACACACGACCGCGCGGCACTTTACAGTTCTTCGACCGTTTTTATGTAAATTTTATATTTAAAAGATAATTTTAAGTGCAAGCAATTACTTTTTGCAGTTTAAATGACATGTACGTAATAAAACTAAGGCAAAGCTTTTATTTCTTTAACATAAATACAAGTACTAATTTACATAACATGTAAAAAACATCAGTACCTAAGTTAAAACTAGTCAGCCGCCGATACACAGTTTGAAGACTACGCATTTCAAAAACACATATATTTTATTATTATTTGTTTTAAATCCGTATTAAAATTGTTTAAAATGTTTAATAATATAACCCAAGCAACGTTCCTTATATTGTTTCTGTCCATGACAACGCACATGTGCACTTATTATAAGCTTTTTTTTTTACATTAAAAGGATAATAATTCTGCACACGTCCATTTACTTCTTTGCCCGCTAACTAACAAGTTCAAGGTGTACGTTACCACAAAATGTTCTCAGCTATAAACATTGCAGTGTAACATTTGCGTCTGTTATATTTAATTTTAAAATACTCTTACATATATTCAAAGTAAATACAATGCGAAATATTTCAGCGGCGGCGGACGTCAGCTGTAATATAATGAGAATTTACTGGCGACGCCGAGACCGTTAAGTTTCATATAACGCCCACGCGATCTTAACAATGGCTGCAGACCTGACTCGTGTATTTTCACTGCTCTGGTAAGTATTTTACAGCTCAGACGTTACACTAAGAACTACCTTCCTTAACTGACAAGTCATTAAAGTAAAGCATAGCAAGTCACTTGAGTATCACATTTGATTTTTTTTTAAAATTTTATTACAATGCATAAGCAACAACGTCTAGCGATTGTGTCACATCGTGGAATTGTTTAGCCATGTATCGCTTTTCGTAAGTCTTCGTTTGCAGTAAAGAAGACATCAACGCTCCGCCTTATCACTTGATAACTATAATGTAAGCCCGTCTAGCTTCGATAAAAGTTGTACTGTAACTTATTAGTAACTTATTCCATACAAAAAAACAAATATCTGTAGCCTGTCTCAGCTGGAAATAAGCGTGATAAATGTGTTAGTACTAGTAAAGTTTTATTCGCATGTCGCTACGCCGGCGTGTTACTGATTCACTACCTCGACCTCGTGATAACAATATCATATTAGTTAAATCGTCCTAAGTGGACTGTTCGAAGATTTATTCGTATCAAACCTACACTTTCTTCGTATCAAAGATATAGACGACCTTACTACACTTGAAAACAAAGTATAAAACCACTATAATAGGTTACCATAGCGATAAACTAATTGTTCTATTTATTTCTTGCAAATTATTCTGTATAAGGATACGATGTGACAGTAAACAGTGGAGTGGCAATGTGTGACATCCGATCGATGTGAACAACTCCACATATTTCTCATGCGCAGGCGCAGTAGTATTCATGGAACTTGTGCATCGCTGTTCGCAGCGCGCATTCTATCGCCCCTATCTATAAAAGACTGTAACAATCGGATTTATGTTCAAACAATACACTATCTTAATTCGTTTCTACTGAAGAATATAGCGTTTATTTGTAAAATGTATTTGAATAACATAATAATTACTTAAATAAGTTTATGTGTAAATTGACAAACTTACAAAATGCTCTAAATATTGCAATCGAATTAAAATTATAAACCAAACAGAACATGCTGTAGAAAATACATTCGAGGCCACAGCTTTCAATTATTCTTGCTGAAGCGTCGGTAAATTATCGACGTCTAACATCGATATCGATAAACTCGCCGCGCTGCACTCTCGGCCGCAATATTAACGTCCTATCGATATCATCCCCTCTCTATCGCCTTTACAATCTCACACGACTTAATCCAAACTCACTTTGGAATTTCAAAAAGTTCCTTATTTAAAGTGTAGCATTTTTAAAAGTAAAATGTACATGTTGCGGGTTACATATAGAATATATACATGAGATTTAGACCAAAGATTAAATGCAGTAGCGAATTAATGCTTTACAGATAATATATACACTGTATGGTGACATTTAAATATTAACGTACAATGAAAGAAGCTAAATATTAATTAGATATATAACCGATTATGATCACTTTAACACGACGCTTTTAAAATACTAATAAACTTTTAACGGAGTGTAATTATAAAAGATTAGGAAATTAATATTTGTAAAATAATAGCGACATATCTCTAATATTATCGTGTTTCATTGCAAATTTGCAATATTTAACTAAATAAAGCCAAGACAAGAGTTAATGAACTATGACACAGAGAGCGCCACTAACTTAATTTATGTAACGGACGTATAAAAACCAGTAGTAAGGTATAAGGTATAAGGTCATATAAGTAATTATTTGATGACTTTATTACATTGATAACTGTATACAATATAGAGTCGTTACGAACTTTTTATAATAATACAAAAACTTGTGCAACAATTATTATAATGTTTACTAGATGACATTTCACTAGGGCTGTCGGGAAAGTGCTACAAAATATAACAGTTCTTTGAATTAAACACATTTAGAAATAATCAAAATATTTATACGTTATTCAAAGTTTTCTTCAATGCAACATTAAGCTGTTGAACTTATATTAATATGAAGTTATATGAATCTTAAAGAGTTTCTTTTGAAGATAAAAAATACACATTCCTTTGTAGGTAGAGTGTAGTTTTACAGGTTCTATTTGTAATTAAAAGAAATGTAAATAGAAATAATTATAGTCGTCTCACTCTCTCCACTGTAATGAATTCATTTTTATAATTGTTAATAAAATGTAGGAATCAGGTTTATAAGAACTCAACGTTATAAAGTAGACAAGTAAACGATGTAAATTATTTTATTTTTGTAAAAAACCAAATGGACACGTTTCATATTACTAGAGATGTTTATTTTGACTTTACAAATGTGTATAAATTATATTCAGTAATTAACACCTATAGCATGAAATTAAAAATTAATAATTTATGAGAGATCTTCAGAGTATTTAAATATTTTTTTCATGGTCACAGCGAAAAAGAAGTTCATGTTTTGTGATATTAAATGAGATGTACTCACATAACTTTAACCAGTATACGACATGCAACTAAAACAATACTCTATTATTTTGCAATCATAATTAGCAGTTAAAATATCTACTAGTATTTAAAGTGCGTAAACCCTAAAATTAGAGCAAATAAACGTGAAAATATCGGCCGAAATCACTCATTATCTTCTACTGCACATGAGAACTGCACTGATATTGAATACTGCAAACCTATTTTAATGGCGCCGGGTTATAATTTGCTTATCATGTTCGAGAAATTTGATTTGGGGCTCATACTGTGATTATATGTCTACGAATGCTTCGTTACACAGTAAAGAATAATTTAATTTTGTAATTTGTTTGTCGACTTCAGAAAAAAGGTTTTATTTGTAGTCATGACTATTACAACAGATCATACATAAGACTTGTATAAAAATGGTCTATTTGGACGTTACAAGTCGGAGGGACCCTCGGTCGCTGCAGCGCCGCGCCGCGGGCTATAAATGTTAATTATTACACGTCGCTCAGTAAAAACTGTTCAGCAGGTGCTGGCCGAGGCAAAGGCTGACATTATCGTTCAGTAACAGCAACACTCAGCCGCTTTATGACCGTTTTCATTTCAGTTTATTAACGGATTCGAAATGAGACGTTAAAAAATTCCAAATGCAAAAATGAAGACCGCAAATTCTTACTAGAAATATTTTATAATAACTAGCATAGAATAGTAGCAAGAACAGTTGTATATGTTTGTTTGTAATATGAATTGTTTTTCAGTAAATTTATTGCTACCATCGAGTTCAATCTGCGATACAGTGTTCAATAACTCTGTTTGGACAAGAAGAAAAGCGTCAGGAAATTCTAGCTCTTAAGTGGAGATAGTCTTGGCACAATTTTGAAGTAAAGTTCTGCGATCTCTACACGACTGGGGATTTTTAATAATAACGGTGTCGGACTAGTCTATTATAAAAATATAAAAATGTTTCAATGTAACTATGAATGAGATTGTTATCTCTGATGTTTCATGCACATCACAAACATGATACAATACACCAAACGACAGAACAAACTCTACCAAACAAAACCATATTAATTTGCGTACTATAGAAAGCGTTCCCACGTTACTTTTTGTTTCCAACTATGTGCACTGTAATCCTTTGTTGTTTCACTTTCTAAGCACACGCGCCACCGTGTCCGACACAGTGCAGGGCTGCGGGCACAGCCGGACCGTGGTGCCGGGACTCACAACAATAACATACAACCTGTGCGAACACAACGCGAACTAAATGCGCCAAATTTAAACGCAACTGTACTGATGACAGTGGTCGCGGCCGCTGCGCGCGCGCAACTGGCGGCCGCACGAGGCCCGCCCGCCGCCATCGCGCGCACCGCTAGAGACAGACATAGCAATTGTAGAGCTCTAGACAGAGATGGAGTACTACCCTTTAGTCCTGCATTTATTCGCTACTAGATTTTTCCGAAGCCATTTTTTGAAGATTTTATTACCTGGTGATTCATATTGATGTTTCGCAAAGATTATCTAATATAGTCACAAAGCTATTGCTAGTCTATTTATATTTTATCTTACAGTTAATATTTAATTACAATGACGCTCTAACTATTAATGAAAGATATTTTTTACAATGTAGAGTTGCATATAATAGACTTCAACGCGTTACTATTTAATTACAAGTCGAAGTAAACACTCAAGCAGGGGAAATAAGTCTTAAACGGTTTCGTTTACCACTCCTTATCTTTGTTTGGCTCGATCGAAGTCAGGTAATTAACAGTGACTTTAAATGTAAAAGTAATTAATAAAATATACAGAGTCTTGTAATCGTGCAGATTGTGTAGACAAGCGAGAAGTGTGCCGCGCTATCTATGTAGAGCGTCGCGCGTCATGCCAGATATCGGCAGCCGGAGAGAGGACGAAACAAATCGATCTGTCCCAAGATATGCTCTGTGTTGCGGAGACAGGCATTACTAATTGGCTCGTTGAATTATGCCTCATAGATTATACACAGAAGCAGCGACAGTCGCGATTGTAATTAAAGATTGATGGATCTAATTTGAATATTACTGGATAAATTATAAAGTTAGTGTAGGAGAAAGAGAGAGACAATTCAATTTGTTTATGTACAATTTGTGAAATGATTTTCCGAGTATTTACATTCACTTTTTACGAATTGACGTCAAGTACTTACTGGTCTAGATGCATGACAATGCTTTAAGTTATTGATGTCACAGTGAGCATGTCATTGTTCTCCCTTTTTATTCCAAGATACGCTAATAGGTAATGGGTATCTATAGATTCACGGTTCCATTACATTCATATTGCGTAAAAAAAGCTTAAGAAATATTTAAAAAAAATGTATCCATTTCAAATATTAAGTAGGTTTTGGGACAGCTTTATTAATATTTCCATAATGGTACATACCTTAGGATTTAGCAAATATATTGCAAATTATTTAAATCACAAAGACATATTGAATGGAATGAAGTAAAACAAAGTTTTATAAAGAACGTAACATTGTATATTAGGTCCGCGCAGCGCTGTGCCGGGGCAGTCGAAGTGGCCGGCTATCATTTGCTACCTCGCAATCATCGTAATGACTACACGCCCGCGCCGGCCGGCCTCACCGCACTCACACCCTACCACTGATTCTCGATCGAACTTGTTACAGTAGAACATCACCAATTTCTTATAGTCCGTAGATTATCGAATAAAAAACGCAAATACCTATTTATCTATTTACTTTAAAATCTTGTTACTTTTTCCACCATTTTAGTGCTTGTACTCGTACATGTATAGAGAATACATTTACTTTAGTTTATTTAGTCAAGTTTCATATTAATATTTGCGATTACTCAGAATTTTATACTCGTATACAACAAGCATGGATCGTGATCTCTACATCAATAAGGACATCCACTTGACACACTACATTCTCGTAGCTAAAACTACCAGTTTTTGCTGACGTAACTTGTATGTGCTATGTTTTAACTCTACATCAATGAAATAAAGAAAATAGGTTATGATTTTATTGATTCAGGGTCTTGGTTCATTTAAACATTTAAAATAAATAAAAAAAGATTATAACTTTATCCACACATTTTAATATTATGTAATTTTAAATTATCGAGTTTACACGACTCGTAGTAAGGGCGATGTCCGCACGCGTTTTAAAATTGAAATTGATGTTGAAAAGCTAAACAGCACTTTATGTCGTACGTAATAAAGTAAATATTTCATTCCTGCCACGTGATAGCCAATCTCGTTCTGACGTGAAAAGATAAGGACAAAGTTCATTTGAAATTTAATACTTATAGCCTAGGCATTTAGGTTTATTATTATTATTTAGAGGAGGTTGTATTAACCTGTCGACAGATGCTCGCCTGTGTCCGATGGTACACTGAGTGATGGCAATCTGCGAGGAAAGCTTTTCAATATAATTTTTCCCGTCACATGAGATATTTCTGTGCCACGTCACTAACAGTTACGTTACAACTGTACACGTTTATAACATTCGGATTTTATTATATTGCTTTTTGCCTTTTAAGGTCCAATTTTTTAATTTACTATTTTATATATTGGCAACTTAAGAATAAAAAGTTGAATTACTTACTCATGTAAAGTGATTTTACCATCTTTATGAACACGAATGATTTGATGAGGGACCAGAGGAATCAAATTTCTACCCAAATTACATTGATTGCCAAATGAGATTGAAACACAGATCTACAGCTACCGATTCCGAGATAAACAAAAGTATTTCTTAGTAGTTATGTTTATCGCATCACAAGTCTCTTGCTGGTTGCGGGTACAGGCAATAATAATGTCGTCCCAGTAAGCAGGTCGCGGTCGCGGTCGCGGTCGCGGTCGCAAATGAAGCGACTCATTGTTCCCACAGACAATGGGCAATGCTTTACGCCGCGGCTTGCGGTGTGCACGCATACGGGCTGAGCCAGCGTCGGCTCTCGGGACAACATGCGCTGACATGACTACATTTTTACCATACACAAGTACCTTTTTAGTACTACTTTGCAGCAGTTAACTTCAGTTTGTGAACTTCATGTTACCTGAAACAATAAAAAACAATGTCATAAATATTGTTAATTACGTATATTGTTTGTAATCTGATATCAATATGTAAGGAACGCTATTTTCTCTATGACAACAACAAACAAAACGGATTGAAGTTCGACGAAGGAGGCGCTATATGCTTGTGTAAATCTTATTCCTTTAAAGAATTCATTTATAACTATCAACAAAATATTTATTTAAAGTAGATCGCAAAATGTGTTTTCAAATATTTGTTGTATAAACCCGGGTATTGAATAAGTGTAGCGACACATCTAAAACTTTATGTTTATAATTTGCTCAAATATATGTATAAAAATTGATTCGATGTATTCGTTACTTATGATAACACAGAACCGATTAGTCATATAACTAAAACTACTAGAGCGCATCACCTGCTCACCACACACAAGTCGGGCACCGCCTTTACCGAGTCCATATCTGACCTCATGTCAGGAAGCAATTATGTTTTGAATTCCTTTTACATGAACAAGCGAAAGCAAACTCTATTACCGGTACATAAAATATAATCTGCCGAAAATTATAATACTTGAGTGACATTACAAATTCTATTTAATTTTTATTTAAAATTAACTGACTAATAAAAACATTAAATAAAAAATACAAAATACAGCTAAGAGGATGCATTATGACAAACTATAAAAGTTACAACTTTAATATGTCATATTTTATTTCCCAAAAACAAACATGGAAGAGTACAAAAATAATTAACAATTTTTTTCTTTATTGGGAGATCAAACTATTTATCGGCGAGGAATATAATAAATAAAAAGGAAATTGTTCACATTTCAACATCGAGCGAGCGCCGGGGATATTGTCATCTCATTCACATTCATAACAATGTTTGTATGGTGGTTACAGACATCATACAAATGTATGAAACTGTCAAATAATATTTTTTTTTAATTCTTTACTTGATCCCATCAGATAAGTGTTAACTGATGCTGCGTGAGGTTTAAGTCGCAGATAAAATGCTCTTATTTATGTTTATACGTATCGAGCGAGTATTGACGACTCAACTTACGACCGCCATATTATAACTAATCACCTAAATTGAGGGTAATTTAAAAAAGAAAGCGGCTTCGAAGGCGCTAGCTTATACAAAATGCTTTATTGAAGCCAGGCTATTGGAATCATTTAAATTTAAAATGAGCTTCTAAAGGTCAATGTGCTATCGTAAAACATTTTTAACGAAACCATTTTATTTCAAACTGCTATAAAATGTTTGGATTCTTATTTTATTCCTTGTTGACAGCTTTGAAAAGAATATGACAAAGATTTTAATATCAAATATCGTGCGATTATATTTCTATGTGGAATATACATTTTCCCGCCAACATCAATAAAGTGGCCACGACACGAATGTGGCCGTTGCGAATCTACGCAAGAATTAGCCTCATTTTAGCTTGTAACTGTTTAATTTTACTACATAGCATCTTGTCGCCTATGTATTACAGCTTACATATGTGCGCAGTGACACATAAATCACACATGAACATGCAACGGTTTTTGCAACCACAAAGAAATTTTATTTAATTTTATCGAATGACATATATTTAATTGGACTACTAAGTAGTCTTTTAACATTCATAAACTTTATTTTCTAATGCGATATAAATGTTAAGAGCTGCCAGTTACGCAATAGGCAACGCACATATCAATGCAGACATGTTAAAAGTAGCATGGCGTAAGTCAACGCCGCACGCCGCACGCCGCACGCCGCACTCAGTGGTGACAATAAACCATTCATCAACATCAAGCCAGTAAAAGTCGCCATGAAAATCCACTGTTAAATAATTCTTAAAGCGACCGTTGAAGTAAAAAGTAGATATTTTATACAGCCATAGTAAAGGCATAAGCTTTGAGCGATTTTGTTAATTAGGGATTAGAAAAGTCATCCGAATAATTTTACGGACAAAATGGTATGGTTTGCATTTTACGCTCATACAAAAACAAATATTGGTTTTCAACAATTAGTGTTTACTAGACGGAGTAAATATGTTAACCATTCAAAAGCTATAAAAACCTTTTTTTATTTTTAAAACAATTGTTGTAGTAACGTATTAGAGTTTATAATAAATAAATAGATTTCCGCTACAGCTCATAACTTGCGCGATTCTTTAAGCATAATAAAACAGTTCATTTTTGTCGCAGTAAAAGGTATGAGTGTTGCCGCGTGATCTAGCGCCTCGGATTACCAATTCAATAGCACTTTCCAACTTCGCCACT